TAGTGAAGGAAAGAGTGAGAGAGGCGGCGACGGTGGTGATGGACAAATCTGAAAAAAAAAAAAAAAAAAAAAACTGAGAAATTGAGAAAAAGAGAGAGAGCCTTACGTGGAAACGAACGGCAACGAGCGGCGACGGTAATTGTGGTGTACAAATCTATGTGGAGACGATGGTGGTGTAAAGAGAGAGAAATCGAGAGAAGCAACGAACACGAGAAAATAATAAATCAATAATTGAGTTAATCAACAATAGTCATATTCGAATCAGAGTAGTTACGTTGATGCTGCTGTTTCAGATCTGGAGAGAAAAAAAATCGAAATAACGAAAGAGAGGGAGGGGGAGGCGACGACAACGACGGTGAATGAAAAAGAGAGTGGAGACGCGGCTATAGTGGCGATGGTGAACAAATCTGGAAAAAAAAAAAATTTGAGAAATCGAGAGAGAACGAAAAAGGAAAATCTCCATGTAACGTATCCGATGAGGGCAGCGACGAGGTGGGGGAGACAGCGCCGCCACCACTTGTACGGAGGAGGGCCTCCTGCATTAGGTTTCGGCCAATCGGCGGTTGAAAGGTATTGTTGGCTCCGGTTGTGACGAGTGCACGAACAACGGTGGCTATGGTGAGCGGACTACGGTGGTGGTGGTGGTGGTGATGTGAAAAAGATGAAGGAGTGCGCCGACGAGTATACAGATCTGCAGAAAGAAGAAAAAAAAAAAAAAAAAAAGAAGACGACGATTGGGAACGAGAGAGAGAGATGGGGAGTGAAAGAGAGAAATAAAATTGTATCACGTTAAAAACCTAACCACATAAGGGCACTTTAGTCTTACCATGTCTGGTCAGAAGGGTCTCACTAATTAAGAATGAAACTTGGGTGTAGGCAAAAGTCTCTAAAGGTTAATTGGATTTAGTTCAAAATATTTTCCGTTTGAGGGGGCTATCGCATATTTCCCCTACTTTATAATATAGTGATCACCACCGTAATATATTTCTTATATAATAATCTTGCAGTAAATGTCCAAAATACCCTTAAAATATCCACTGAAAATAATTACAAGTGGTAGACCGAAAAAAACCGAAGGAAGAGGAAATAAAAGTAAAATAAAGATTTTTATTAATATATAAAAAGTAGGTGGTGCAAAGAGAAAAATACTCGGTGCAAATATCACGTCTTAAAAGAAATGCGTATTAATTATTTACAAATTTGATCCATGTATGTGTTTAACGAAGATGCTTAAACAGGACGAGGAATGTTAAACTGAAACGCTAAATCATGCAAAATTCTATTGGATTAATGTTTTAATTTCATTGCATCTAGTTATCTACGTGAAGTAATTGTAACGCAAGTCTTCATGTGTATAAATGGAATATATAGTTACTATTGAATCGAAAAATAACCGAATCGAACTGAATACAAAAAAAAGAATGATAACGAAAATAAAAATCAAATTTTTCTAACGATGCGTGCATAGTTCAGTTTTAGTCAACAACTTAACCGAATCAGGTGCACACCCCTAAATATAGATGTAACTTTTAAATCTGCTAAAATTAAACGAGAGGTGTAAACCGCACTGGACAAAGCCCATTGAGACGAAGTCGAAATACTAAGTGCTGGAAGAAGAAATCAAACTCGAGTCGTATGTAAAAATGAATTTAATTTCCTTTTTTATATTGAAAAATAAATGAATTTGAAAACATCATTAGAAAGTCTCTTAGTCCATTCCTTGGGCCACACAAACTAAGTGTCATGTGAAGAAAATGAAAGAATATAATGTATTTATCATATACCACCAAAGACCTTTACATTATTTGATTTGAATTTCCAAAAAATGTCACTTGTAGTGGGGTATATAGGTCATTTTCCAGCCAAATCCCTTCACTTTAGTTCACTCAATAAGTATGTTTTTTTAATTTAAATAAAATGGCTGGAATTATGCTAAATTACAAAGTTTATTTAATGATGGGAACAAATGTCTATTTCATTTTGGCTGGAGTGATTTAATTACACCAGCATGTCAGCTGATACAATGTTACAACTCTTGCTATCACTCCATATTTAATTTTTTTACATTTTTTTTGTGTTTTAAATATGCTCTTCATTATAATACATAATTAGCCAGATATAATGTACATATATTTCATGTAAAATGATCATGTATTGAATTTGATTGTAGCTTTGGTGTTATAGTATGCCTGAGTACGATTGAAAAAAAAAATTTTACTCGATTGTCGATATGTTATCTATTCGTCTAAAAAACAAAATGGCTTATGTCAAGTCAATGAGGATCATATCTCAATTCGTGGACTATGTTACACATAGTAAAGGTTACACCGCGTGGATTTCTACGTACCATTGATCTACACACACCAGTGAATGTGTGTGTGCGTGCGCGCTTATTATAATGGTAAAGATCTACCCAGTGTTTTTCACCTCGTGTAGTATAGTATAAACCGACTTAAAAGTTCTTTTGCCGAGCACAAGTCCCTCCATGCGGACTTAAAACGACAACAATAATTCTAAAATTTAGAGAGAGAAGATTATGGAGAAAACGATATTAGAAGAAAACCCCTACTTTGAGCTATAAAGACTATATTTATAGTAGCAAAACATCGAAAATTAGACCTAATTGATACGGGAAATTCTATGCTGCACATGGTTATTTACATCAGTTGATTGTTAATCGTTGATCTGCACATAATCACACACACTCATGTGTCTGTGTGCTTAGTGAATATTTATTTAACCCCATCTACATTTAACAATCATCCAGTATAAATAATCCAGTGTAACATAATAATATAACTCCCCACGTTAATACCTATTTGAATGACCATTATTCATGGAAGTCCAACAGAAACAGTGTTTATACCAACTAATACCTTTTCCCTTCACTACTCTCCAATTACGCAACTTTATACTACGACCGTTACGTTGATTAATTATTGTAATATTATTGGCAAAAGGGACCGAGCTTGAATCATTAGACGACGATGCATGCATTCTTCTTACTCCATTAATTAGATCACTCTTTTTTTTTCTTTTCCCGGGGGCAGTTAACAGTGTACCTTTAACGCAATCGATCTCCGATTATATGATTTGATGTAACAACATGCACGTATTGATCGAATAAGGTTAAGAAAATAGATGACAAAAGCCCGGAATTATAAGTAGGTAAAACTTATCTTTCTTCATATATCCATCACTTGTGTATTATTTCCCATGTACTATATGTGAAATGGCTGTATGTATATATATACTGTGATTGCTGACCTGTCCCTCAAAGTAGCCTACAACTCAAATTCATGATCTAAAGGGCTATCATTTAGCTACCTTTTTTGTGCACATTGCCCATACCCCCCCATCCCCACCCCCACATGATTTTTTTTTTTTTTTTTTTTTTTAATTTTAAATTTTATATTTATGTTAGTTTACATATAATTTAATAGGAGGAATTTTGAAAACAGAGTCACTTGAATCTATTAATATTCGAACGAGTTAAAGACAATAGACTTTTTGGTTATTATTGAAGTGATCGCGCTGTCTTTTTACAAAAATACCCTTATATTTTTGTAGATTAAAAGTTGCGAGCACTTGAGTGTCCATCTAAGTTGAGTCAATTTTGTTGAATGACTATCTCAGCTAAACTGTTAGTGAAATGTATCATTTAATATTATATATCCAATACGCTTCATCAAGTGCAGGTGAATTCCATGTAAAACCTTGCACTTGAAATATTTGAAATGAGCGATGGTGAGATTCGAACGGTGAATTACATTTGAAGCCCTCTACACTTGAAATGAGCAACGGTGGGATTCGAATTCAGAACTTTTTCATTGGCCTAACTCTGATACCATATTGAATAACTATCTCATTCAACTATTTAAGCTGCTAGTGAAATGTATTATTTAATATTAATATCTGTAAAATAAACTTGTTTAAATTAGTCAATTCAATTGTAAATCCTTGACTCAACCGTTTTACATCGATTGACTCAATTACATCAACTAATTCAAACTAATTGACTAAGTTGTATCAGCTCATTGCAATCACTTGACTCAAGAGTCAAGAGGGCTATATGATACTCCATCGATCTAATATTGCACGTCGTTTTGGAATTTATTTTTTTTCCTAAATTATTTATCATTTTAGAGTTATAATAAAATATTAATTGTATTTTATCAATTTTGTCCATTATTACTTTTAATTAGTTAATTAAAAAATAATTAATAACTAGTGTATTTTAGTAATTTACTATTTTATTTTTATTATAATCTATACTTATCTATTGAATATCTTAATATTCGCGCAACCACCTAAATGGCATATAATATGGTACGAAAGGGAGTAATTGACTACAATCAATCAGCTGATTCAACTACTCCCTCTGTCCCATATATTATATGTCTTTTTAGAGAGTTTTTTTTGTCCCAAATTATTTGTCATTTTACATTTTCAATGAAGCATTAATTGTATTATTTTCAATTTTACCCTTAATCACTCCTAATTAATTAGTTGATAATCAATTAATGTCGAGGATATTTTAGTAATTTTATCTGTTTTTTACTATAATCTATGTACATTTATTGATTTTATTAATATGTGCAAAACAACCCAAAACGACATTTAAATTGGGACGGAGGGAGTAATATACGAGGACAAATCTTACAAAATTGAAATTACCTAAATATGAAAAATCTTAACATAGGTAATGATACATTTGTAGTGATGGATTTTTATCTAATTTTTTTCTACTTTATTATATGTCACACATTTTGTGTAGAATTAATAATTTCATAAATATATATCTAGGAAAAGAAAATACTAAATACACACATATATAATTAATTAAAAAAAAAAAGAGAAAATAAAAAAAAGGGAAATAGATAGAAATAGAGAGAGGGCCCCACCACGTCGCGTCTCCACTAATTCTTTTGTGAAAGTGAAGCAAAAGAATTAGCTGCCATCCCATTGTGTCCTAATCATGAGTTCTAGAGAGAGAAAGAAAGAACAAGAGAAGAGAGAGAAAGCAAGAGAGAGAGAGAGAGAGAGAGAGACAGTGAGAAAACAAGAAGGGGATCTACGCTGCAGATGTCAATGGACGTTTATATACAATGCCCCTAACTCCTCCTTCTTATTTACATCTTCATGATTTCTTCCATTTTCCACACACCACTTCACACACACTCCCACAACTCCATTTTCACACACACACAACTTAACCTCTGTGCTTCTCTCTCTCTCTCTCTCTCTCTCTCTCTCTCTAGTTAGCAGCTGCCCACCATTCCCCATCTCAACTCCCAACTATGGTCAGTCTCTCTCTCTCTCTCTCTCTGCATTTCTCTTTCTCTCTCTCTCTTCTTCAACAAGTTAATTCTAATAAGAAGCTAATAAACTTAAAACGATGTCGTTTTGCACAGGGGGAAGACGCGGAGCAGGGTTACGATAATCTCAGCCCATCAAGAATCAAACCCAGAGGCGGATTCACAGCTACCTCCTTCATATATGGTTTTTAATTTTCCCATCTTTTTTTTTTTTTCAATTTTTAGTGATTATTAAGGTTGTCTTTTATTTTTTTTTGTGTGTGTGTGTGCAGCTCTGGTGGCATTGGAAAACATGGGGTTTGTTGCAAACATGGTTAGCTTGGTTCTATATTTCTCGTACAAATTGTACTTTGATCTGTCCACGTCAGCCAACACTCTCACGAATCTCATGGGCTCAACTTTCTTGCTCTCCATTGTCGGCGGTTTCATTTCAGACACTTACTTCAACCGCTTTCAGACATGTGTCATTTTCGGCACTCTCGAAGTCTTGGTAATAATCGAAACCCGAATTTCGTGTGTGTGTTTTGATCATTTGTTTTCAAGATTTGCAAAAGGGTAAATCAAGATTCATAAATTAGCACTAATTTTATTGTTATCTGTGTGTGTGTGTGTGTTTTTTGGTAACCAATTTAGGCTTTAGCGATGATGACGATTCAAGCACGTACCGATAGTTTACTACCGAAGCCGTGCGGCGGAAAATCGAGTTGCTTAGAAGGCGGTGTGGCGGTCTATTTCTACACGTCGTTGTGCTTAATGGCATTAGGGGTAGGGGGGGTGAAGGGGGCCCTGGCCCCCCTAGGGGCCGACCAATTCGACCCGAAAGACCCCAAAGAAGCAAAGGGGCTTGCTAGCTACTTCAACTGGCTATTGCTAAGCTCGGTCGTCGGCTCGTCAATTGGTGTTACGGTTATTGTTTGGGTGTCGACCAATAAGAACAACCACAATTGGTGGAAAGGGTTTCTCATAACTGCGGTTGCTACATTCGTCGGTTACGTTTTTCTTGTTGTTGGGAAGCCTTTCTATCGCTTGCAAGCTCCGAAGGGCGATAGCCCCCTCTCGAGAATTGCGCAGGTGCATTATGTATATATGTATATGTTGTAGTGGACTTCAATCGACGATTTTATTTTTGTTGAATTTGTTTTTGTTTTGGTTTGTGTCAGGTTATTGTAGTGGCGGTGAAAAATAGTAGATTGCCTCACCCGGAAAGCTGTAGCGAGTTGTACGAGATCAACGAAAAGGATTCGGATTCGACCGGACCGAAAATTGTACATACCGAACAATTTAGGTAAAAAAAAATTAACGATAATAATTCAATAGAATCCAAAGAATAGGTTTAAATTTTGCTTCAAAATATTTGATGATGTTTGCTTCGGCTGTATTGTTGTTCAATCGGTGTTATAGACGACCCCAAATGCAATAAACTCACGACACCTTTTTTTTTTTATGGAACTAGATGGCTCGACAAAGCGGCAATTGTTCAACCAAACACCGACCCCTCCCCATGGAAATCTTGCACGGTGACGCAAGTCGAAGAAGTCAAAATCCTCACAAGAATGATGCCTATATTAGCGAGCACGATCATACTCAACACGTGCATGGCCCAACTCCAAACATTCTCCGTCCAACAAGGCTACCGCATGGAGCCGCACCTCGGCTCGTTCCAAGTCCCCGCCGCTTCAATTCCCGTTATACCCCTACTCTTCATCATAATCCTCGTACCGATCTACGACCGCGTTTTCGTCCCGTTCATCCGTAAATTCACCAAAAACCCGTCCGGGATCACGCAATTGCAACGCGTGGGGGTGGGATTGGTCCTCTCGACTCTGTCGATGTCGGTCGCGGCTATAGTGGAAGTGAAGAGGAAGAATCGGTCTTTGGAGAATCCCGTGGAGCCAATTAGTCTCTTTTGGCTCGCTTTCCAGTACGGGATTTTCGGGATCGCGGACATGTTTACCCTTGTGGGTTTGCTCGAGTTTTTCTACAAGGAGGCGCCAGAGGGGATGAAGTCGCTCTCGACTTCGTTCGCTTGGATTTCGCAGTCGTTTGGGTATTTCTTGAGCAGCGTCTTTGTGGATACGATAAATTCGGTGACGAAGAGGGTTGCGCCTAGCGGCAAAGGGTGGTTGCACGGGCAGGATTTGGATCGGAACAATTTGAATTTGTTTTATTGGTTTTTGGCGGTTTTGAGCGGGCTCAATTTCTTCAATTATTTGTATTGGTCGACGTGGTACAAGTATAAAAGTGGGGACGGCGAGAACGGCGTTGGTAAGGCGGCGGTGGCGGTGCCGGAGGCGGAGATGATTGGTAGTTTGCCGTTTCTGAAGGCGGCTGCGGCGGAGGAGGAGGTGTCGAAGGCGGCGAATGGCGGCGGATATGTGGTGGTGGAGGAAGGTAATCGGAAAGAGTGAAGGAGTTGGGTAGGGGAAAAAAAAGCTCAATTGGACATGACTAAAAGATATATATAGTGGTTTGGTTATTTTTTTTTTTTTTTTTTTTTTGGTTGTTTAATTTTTTATTTTATGGTTCTTGAAATCAGGTTTTTTGTGTGTGGGGTGTGTGTTTATGGTTATGTTGTGAGTGATTCTTGGAAGATTGGGATTGGATTTTCATACTTAGATGTGCTCACAATAAAAATGTAAAAAGGCTTGTGAGGAATTTGAAGATAGTTTTGTTTATTGCATTTTATATTATATATAGTAAAAATGAGATTGATTTTTATTGTGGAATATTGTTTGGTAGAACAACCATGTGTGTGTGTTTTTTTTTCTTACTAGGAAAACACACCCACATTGGTGTGTGTAAATTCATCTGATGTAACCTTCATCGGTGTAACATAGAAATAAAAATTTCGGAAAAAACTATGAGTAAAATTCAGGTTCAAATTCCATAAAAAAGAAATCAGGTTCAAATGATGGCACATTTTCTTATCAAAAAACAAATAGAAAAATATAGTTTTGATCTCCAAGTTTGCACCAATTTCATATTTGATCCTCTAAGTTTATAAAAAATACATTTGGTTCCTTATGTTTCAAAATTTCAACACTTTTAGTCCTTCCCGTCAACTTTCAGTTAGTAATAACGGAGTCAAACATGTGCCAATGACAGCCTTAACTTACGAACTAACGGTAAATTAACCGAAATGGCCAAAAATATTAAATTATTGAAACACGAGGGACTAAATGTGTAATTTGTGCAAACTTAAGGGGTGAAACCTATAATTTTCCCAAAATAAAATAAAATTATGCCATATATATATATATATATATATATATATATATTTTTTTTTTTTTTTTTGGCTGGTAACACTATTTTATTATACCCATTTTAACAATTAAAAAAGAAATAGTAAAGTTCAACTGTTGAAGCAATAAATTAAAAAAAGAAAAGAAAACAATTACGTATATAAAAAGAAAAAGTGGACCCAAAAAGAAGGGGACAACTGTAATAATAGGTCAAACAAGCAATGACAAGTTTGGAGATGGAAGTCAAAAGTTGTAAGAGTTTATGGTTGAATTGACAATCAATACCAAAGGTACAAGTAACACTTTGTGTGTAATTTTATTTCCACTTATTCACATTCAAGTAAAGTACAATTGTCTATTTTTTCACTATTTATTTTATTCACACACAAAAGTAAACCCTAAAATTGGTATTTGTAAATGAACACTAAAGTCTTATCTGATGTTGTCTTTACTGGATGTAGCATATAATTGACGATATTTTTAAACGCTACATCCCGATAAACTTTATCGGATAGAAATCACATTATATGTGTATGTATATAAATATTCATTTCGTATACATCCATATGTATGTGAATATGTGTGTGTAGATCAACCAGGTGAAACTAGGGGTGAAAATCAGAACGAAATTTTCGAATTGTGCCGATTTTGAACAAAAGATGTTCGAATTTGGAACCATCTTTGTTTTCTTCCGATATTTGATTTTTCCGATTATTATTTTAATGGAATTGGAATTGTATATAAAATTATCGGAAAATACAACTTCTGATCCAATTTTAGTTATGAAATAATATATATATATATATATATATATATATATATATATATATATATATATATATATATATATATATATATATATATATATTAATAATAATTTTATAATATATTTTAGGGTGAATTCCACTTTACCCCTTCTACTTTTGGTTGCATCGATTTGGCCCCTGCACTTGAAAAATTGTCTCAATGTGACCCTCGTTGTTAGTTACATTTGACCTTAACGTCGTTTGATCTAAGTTTTGAAATTACAAAAACGTCACCTCTCCCAGTTTAAATAATTATTAATAAATAAAAAATTAAAACAAAAAGTAAAATAATAAAAAATTCAAGACGACGAGAAAACATAGTCCACGACGCCAGCCACAATTTACTTATTTTTTCATTTTTTATTTTTAATAATTATTTAAACTGGAAGGAGTGGTTTTTTTTTGTAATTTCCAGACTTATATCAAACGGTGTTAAGGTCAAAGGTCTAGCCACGTTGAGACAATTTTTCAAGTATAGGAGTATATCGATGCAATTGAAAGTAGAAGGGGATAAAGTGATATTAAATCAAAGTATAAGAGGGGAAAGTGGAATTTACCCTATATTTTATATTTTATAGTAGAATTTAAAATATATTTTATATGAAAATTATACATATCCAATTGGGCCCAAGTAAACCAAGACTTTAGTAGCCCAGTTTTCTATAATCTCTCTCTTCACAGTCATGTTGGTTTTGTAAAACCATTTCATATTCATACTTTGCAAGAACTGTGTTGACTTTGTTGAATTGCTTTGTTGTTGTTACACGTGTTTACATTTCATTTTGTTGAATTTCGTTTTGGATTTTTTTTTATTAATATATTTTTTTGGCATTTTGCTGGAAAATTTCAAAAAGATTATGAACATTCCCATTATAATCGAATTTGGAACAAATATGAATTAATGCAATTTCCGAAATTTACGGAGTTAAGCCGATTCCGCCGTATTCCAAAATTGGAATGAACTCTTGAATTCCGATTTTTGGGGGAATGAAAATTGTAACGCATTTTTAACTTCCGCATATGTTTTGGAAAAATATCTGATAAAACCATTGCAATCTGTTTCGTTCGATTTCAACACCATGTGAAACTAAGGATTGTATTTCATCATATGTAACATTTACAGAATCACCTTTGACCATAGTCTTGACCAAGGCCCATGTGGCTCACCCTGGCTTAAAGGCTCGGCTCCGATTAACTGACTCAATGTTAATTCATTTCAACATTATTTAACTTTAATATTAGTTGACACCAATTTAAAAGAAAATATTAAAAAAAATTAACTTTTTTCCTGAAAAAAAAATTAATTAAAAAAAAAAAGAATATGTATCAATGTTAAAGTTAACTAATGTTAAGTCAGCTAATCGGAGCTTCGACGACCTACCACCGGAAAAAAATTAAAAAAAGAAAAGAAAAAATAAAAAAAATGGATTGTTTAAAGTTAACTAATATTGAATCATCTAATATGAGCTCCGACGACCCGCGACCGGTAAAGAGAAAAAACGATTTCTACCAATGTTAAAGTTAACTAATGTTGAAGTTAATTAATGTTGAGTCAGCTAATAGGAGTACGACCCACCACCGGAAAAAAATTAAAAGAAAAACAAAAAGGAAAAGAAAAAGAAAAAAAATGTACTGTTTAAAGTTAACTAATAAAAAAAAACAAGAAAAATCTGACCGAGTTAGACTGGACCGACCGGACCGGATCGGACCGGCTTGATGGGCGAGCAGGATGGAATGGGATGAATTGAGCTTATCTCAAATAGAAATATATAAGGCCATTTTGAAAATTAATGTTTTTATGAGTTTATTTGAAATGAAAGTTAAAGAGTGTATCTACTTTTAGTGAAACTTAGATTTGCGAGTTCACAACAAATTCGCTCTTATTTATTTTATTTGAGAATCTATTAATAAAGAAACAGGAATTCTTGTGGCGAGAGTTCGATTTTTCGGTGTGTGTGTGTGCGTATATGGAGTACTCGTGTTGTGTCTAAGCTCATTTATAAGGTGATATTTTGAAAATATATAAATACAAAAAAATCTAATGAAATCATTAATAAATATCTAAAAACAAATTTCAAAAAGTAGATTTAAATTATGGGTAAATAGCATTTGTTGGTTACAAGTTTTTGCAGATGACCCCGTTCTGCTCGTAAAATCACCACATAACCCTTGTGGTTGATAGGGGTAGTTTCTGTTAGTTTTTCCGTTAAAATTAACTGCGTGTGTCAAGGGTCAAAATACTATAGTTTGCAGATGACCCTCTGCGTACATTTTCGCTGTAATTTTTACAGATGACCCTCTTGAAGATTGACATGCGCGGTTAAGTTTGACGGAAAAATTAAAAGAAGTTATCCCTATCAACCACAAGGGATGTGTGTGCTGATATTACGAGAAAAAAAAAAATTATCTACAAAATCTTGTAACCACATCAATGTTAAGTGCAATTTACCCTTAATTTCATTCTAATGAGGTGAAAACTGCTGTTAGTTTTTGTTTAGTTTCAATAACTTACTTATATATAATATATGTTATTCACCGGTTAATGAATTTCTTGCTATAAGTGTGCTATTTATCCTTTAAAAGGTTGGGCCGGATCTTGATTTGGGTTGGGAATATTCGGTCCAGTTATTGATGCTTCGGCCTAGCTTGGATCATTGCATCTTCATTCTTTCACACACTTTCTCATTTTACAATATATTTTAAATTGTAACATCATTTTTACTTAATCTTTTATTTATCGAACCGTTTTTCTTCCCTAAACATTGCACATTATTTCAAAACACAATTTCCATATTTAAGACCCCATATATGACCTTAATAGGATGAGCTGGAAGAGCAAATTGAAACACTAGCTCACGAGCTTGATGACCTTGAGATACCTGCGATCAGAGAACACGTAAACTAAGTCGGGGGTTGATCCGGCGGAAACCTCCGACGCTCAAATCAGGCGTACGGATTGCAAGGATTGCAGAAAAAACTCATGAAGTTGTATAGTTTGAATATTGAACGTATCTTAACAAATGATTTGTAATCTTTATTTATACCGAATTGGTTGGGCTGAAATTACTTGATTGTAATTATCGAGTCCAACCTTATTTAAAGGTGATTGGACTTTCGTTGTAATGGTCTTCAAAATTGGGCTCGTGACCCAATAGATAAACAAATTGCGACCCATTAAATAATTCCAATAAGACATATCAATATTAATAAAAATTAAAATCACATGAATTTGATTCCTAATTTCGATGTTACATACGTATAAAGATTCATAATATGTTATGTTGATATGTGGTGACGTGGAGCGGCATAGGTCAAAAAAGTCGTCCAAAGTCACGTGAAAACGTAAGCATCTTTATATAATTTGATTGCTTCTTAAATTCCGATGCATCATCAATTCACGAGACCAATGACCCTCCATTTCACCCGCAAGGGTGGCCTAGCGGTTGGAGCAAGAGAGCTTGGGTCAATTGACCCAAGTTCGAATCCCCTTGCCAACGGTCGCTAGGTCGAGCTTGTCACACATGGTTAGCCTAGTGTGGTTTACATCTCTCGTATAGTTTGCAAGCTATTATACGAGAGTGTAGGTTTACCCAGTGCACCTATATGGATGGCTGTGGGTTCCTGCATTATCAGAAAAAAAAAAAAAAAAAAAAATGACCCTCCATTTCAATATAACCTATACTTCTGTCGGCAAGAATTTGGCTTCTTCAAAATAATATTTAAAAAATAAATAAATATTATCTCAATTAATTAAATTAGAACTATTTTTTTTTTTTTTTTTGCTAAAGTATTGTTCGTTTGAGGCATGTCATGCCATAGTATTTTTTTTAATAATAGGATTTATTTATGATTGTATCAACATTAGGGTGTAATTATAATTTACCCTTTACTTTTTTTCCTACAAAATATTCAGAGGTCAGTTGTAATTTACCGCTAATAATAATGTAGTTACGGTACATTTTGATGATGGCGTTTGATAAACTCATAATAATTAATCGATCTTGTTTGATTTATTTTTTTTATCTTTTTTTTAATTGAGTCATTTGAAAATAAATATCAAGTCCATTGTTTTCATTTTCAGTTGTTTTTTGGAACAATTATATTGAATTTCATTTTTTTTTTCCAATTGAACTTATTCAAAGTTTGTTCATTTCAAAAAAAAATTTAATCCAAACACACATTAGATAGGTTGAATGTAGGGGTGGGAATTGGAATAGAACCTCCGAGTTACGCTAATCTCCATTTGGAATATCTGAATTTGGAACAATATTTTTTATTCCGATTTTCAAAATTTCGATTTCTGATTTTTCCGAATTTATTTGGAATCAGGATTGTATACAAAATTACTGGAAATTCCGGGTTCAGATAAGCTTTTAGTTCTGAATATGACGATTGTTTTTTGAATATATAATATGATGTATGATATATTTTGTAACTCCATAATATAACTTATGTTATATTTATATGAAAAATAAATATACTGAAGTGTGTAAATTATAACTTTAGAAAAAAATAATTGGTATCAGAAACTCTATGTTGTATTGTTTCTTATGAGAAAATATTTGTTTCAATTTTCTACATGTGGTTTTATTTATTGCGTTTTGTCCCTCTTTTGAATTTTCTTGCGTTTTCCTGCAAAGTTTCGGAAAAGGATAGAAAAATATTATGAAAATTCGCATGATACCCGAATTTGGAACAAGAGATTATAAATTAATGTAATTTTTGAAATTTCCGAAATTCCGCCAATTCTGAGGAATTTCGTAATCGAAATGAATTTTTGCATTCTAATTTTTTTGAAACGGAAATTGGAACTCATTTTATAATTCCGAAAAAAATAAAAAAAAATCGAAAAAGCCATTTCCGATCATTCTGTCCGATTTCACCTCTAAATTGAATGAATACATTTTACAACAAATTCAAAATTCTTAATGAATTTCATGATGAATTTAAAACAATGTTTGGTTGAAATCGTTAGCTGGGAATTGAACCAAAATTTCGAATTCAGCTAATTTTAATCAAAAAATCTAAAAGAAAATCAAATTGAAACAATATTTTTCATTTTGAATTCTAGAATTTTGATTTTTTTTTTCTGCTTTTCTCGATTTCTTTATCATATTCGTAATATAAATGAGATTTTGATTTCAAGTATAATTTAATTTTTTTTAAAAGTCCTATTGTCCGAAAAACTACACTTAAAATATCGACATAATTATGTACTATACACTCTGTGTAAAAATAAAATTTCCGGTTTATGGTTTCAATCTCCGAATTTATTTGAGAATGGGACTGTAATTACTTTTTTATGTCTATTTTTTTTTTCATTCAACAGTCTTAATTTATTTGCACTTGAAAAAAATGAACATAGTCAATAAGTCACGTGACAACAATTTATTTAGTGTGAGCACTTCTTTTCACATTAACTAACTAATTAATTAATTAATTAATTAATTAATTGATTTATAGCATGAAGAAAAGCACCCTAAAGCAAAACGTAAATAGAAAGACAAGCGCGCCGAGGAACACGGTTCCGAGCCGCACAAATTCCCTACTCTATACACAAATTGTTTTTTTTTTTTTTTTAAATAGGGTAATTCCACTTTCGTCCTTGTACTTTGGCTCGATATCATTTTACTCCCTGTACTTGAAAATTTGTTTTAATGTGGCCATCGCCGTTAGTTTACAGACAACTGCTCTTAACACCGTTTGTCTGAGTTTGAAAATTACAAAAAAACACTCTACCCAGTTTTAATAACTATTTAAAAAATAAAAACATAATGATAATAAATTGTTGTTGGCGTCGTCGTGGACTATAATTTCTCGTTGTCTTGATTTTTTTATTGTTATTCTTTTTTTTTGGTTTTTTAATAATTATTTAAACTAAGAGATGTGGCGATTTTGTAATTTCAGAGCTTAGACCAAACAATATTATGTCAAATGTCTGACAATTAACAGCGAGAGCCACATAGAGACAGATTTTCAAGTGCAAGAGGGCAAATATGCAATCGAAAGTAGAAGGAGATAAAGTAATATCGAGTCAAAGTACAAGGGAAAGTGGAAGTTACCCTTTTAAATATATATATATATATATAATGAACTTTTTTAATTTTTCATATATATATACAATAATATATATTGTATAGGTGTGTACCTCACCAAAGATTTTTAGCGGTGATTGTGAAATCCGTGTTACGTAAAATAGTGGGGGCGACATAATAATTACCCATTTATTCTGCGGCCGCACGCCTTTGAGAGCATATTGTTAAAATATCTTTGAAAATGAAAATCCAATTAGGATATCTATTATAACCAATCTAACATGGGAATTTTTTAATTTCATAATATTTTTATATACGTTTCGCATCAGACATTCGAGGTGATCTTCAATAATTATTTACTTGAACTCAATAAGTATATCTCGAATATAGGAAAAATACATTGAAAATACTAAAATAACCTTTATCATTTAATGACTTATATGGTTGAGTTAATACTTACAGTTGAAAGGTTAAAATATGGAAATATTCATTCAATGCAATATTGAAAATCTAAAGTGATATATAACATGGAACAAAAATATTTTAAAAAAGACATAATTATTATGAAACATAGGGAGTAATATTTTGTACTAAATAAACGTTGCATATTATCCTTGAAACTAAAAATGTTAGAGCAATTCTAAACCTAAACTATTAAAATGAGGTATCAATAATCAAATATTCATTTGATAATTAATATTTTATTTTGATATTTATACAAATCTATTTGTTCTTACCATATGTATTAAATAGTTGTTATTTAAACATAATTAAAATAGTTTATATATTTAATTGACACATGTTATTTTCTAATTGGTTAAATTTGTCATGCAGATTTGATATTTATTCTCCGATTTATTTTTAACAAGGGAATGCTAAAAAAATACCAAATTTTTCTAACTTCAATACCTATTACTTCAATACCACATTTTTACACATTTTTTTTTCCAATTTCTTCTTAGACTAACAACAAAATGTACAAAAATACCCCTCCTTGACAATATATAACTTATACAAACAAAAAAACTCATCAATCTCATTTTGATTTGTTGAAGATCAAATTAAAGAAAAGAAAAAAAAAAGAAAAAAGAAAATTCTTCCCCTTCCCACCCCCAAACCAGAAGGGAAAACCCTACCCACCGCCGAACCAACACCATTGTTGTAGACCCGGTATCATAGGAGGTGTAAGAGATAATCATAGTTGAGGGGGTTAGATGTAATTATCCTAATAACCCATGAATGGTTATAATTTACCCATCAATATTTCTTCAATAATTCATATTTGGCCCCATTAGCAAATTTACAGCAGCAGCAGCAGCTGCCTGTAACTTTTTTTTTTCTGGCAGCATGGCCACGTCACCATCTTGGTTTTCGCCACAGAAAACTTTTCCTAATCAAAAGATCCCAAACGTGCCTCCACTCTCTAGTACCTTTCACTGCGAGTATATACACTGTATCTATATATATATATATATATATATATATATATATATATATATATATATATACATTCATAAAATAAATCTTAAAAATGCCCGGCAAAAACAAAACCCTCCACCCCCACCTTCACTCTCAAAGCACCGCTCTTTACTTTATTCCTCCATAAATTCTTTCTTCATAATAATAAACAAAAAAGAAAAGAAAAATAGAAATAGAAACAAAAAAGAACACTCACCCCCCCCCCCCCCCCACCCCCAGCCCCGGACCCCCCCCCCCAAAAAAAAA